TCACACTCTTTCTCTCAAATATGAACAAACATTTAAAAAATAATAATAAAATAAAAGGACTCATAAAGGAGCACCTGGGTGGAGTAGTCGGTTAAGCCTCCAACTCCTGATCTCTGCTCAGGTCATGATCTCACAGTTTGTCAGTTCGAACCCCATATGGGGCTCTGGGCTGATGGTGCAGAGCCTGCTTGGGATTCTGTCTCTCCTCTCTGCTCCTCTCCTTCTTTTTCTCTCTCTCTCAAAGTAAATAAATTAATTAAAAAAATTTAAAAACGGAAGGACTCATAAAAAGCTATGTAGTATCAGGGGCTTCAGGGCAAGCTCACCCCATGCCAAGACATGCAGGGGAGGGGACAGTATGCATACTGAGCCTCCCTTCACTAACAAATGCACCCCCAGTGACCCATCTCTCAGAGTCCGTGTGTATATTCCCTCTCCTCAGAAGTCATAGTCGGGGACCTGCTCTTTGCTTCAAGCTTGCCTGGCTCCTCAGGAATGCCTTCATTAACATATATGATGTTGTACGGCCTGCACTGTAATGACTTTGTGGGTTTCCTCTCCCACATTCCTTGCCCTATCTCACATCCACCCTAGATTGGAAGCTCCCTTTAAATAGGAACCGGGTCTGAGTCTCGTGTGTCCCTCGGGCCTGGCATACATGTTTAATGACTGAGCGAACAAATGAATGAGTGAATGCTCACCTTTCTTCATAGACACATTTTGCACACTCCCTATGTACTCAGGTCCAGCCATCTCTCTTGTTCTCTCCTCCTCATACCCCCCCCCCCGCCCCAACTCCTGACCCTGAATCCTATAAAGTCCCATAGTTATATAGTTATGGACTAGTTCTTTGTTATCCATTTGTGACTGATCTAGGGAGGTTCCAGGACTCTCATGAGAGTCTGGAAGGGGAAGGGGCCCACTGGTCCTTTAAAGCCGTATTAACTGGGCCACATTTGGGACAGAAAAGGGCTTCCTGGGAAGAACCTGGCTGTTGGCCGGGGGAGGGTAGTGTCCTGCTGCCCCAACCTGACCACGCCCTCCTGCGTCTGCTGTCCCTACACCTGACCTGTGAGGCTGTCCCAAGGTTGGGGGTGGTTGTGGCCTCCGTCTCAGGCTGACCAGCTGGCAGACGCAGCCAGATTTAGAAGTCATTTTCGCAGCAGGGAGCCTCCAGCCTCCCACCCACAGTGCCATGCAGGGCCAGTCTGAGATATGGCTCACCAAGGGCTGGCCCCTAGACCTGTAGTCACTCCTCTCCTTCCTCTCTATCCCTTTCTTCCCAGATCTTTAGCAGCTAGTGCTGACTCCACCCTTAGGCAAAGATGGAGAAGTCCTGGGGAAGGGGTGTGTGTGTTGCCTTGCTGTTCTAACTACCCAGAAGCTCCATGTACACCATTCACCCATCACCCATTCAAGGGACTGTCTCTCTCTCTCTCTTTTTTTTTTTTTTTAAATATTTTTTATTTATTTCTAGGAGAATGAGAGAGACAGCGTGAGCAGGGGAGGGTCAGAGAGAGAGGGAGTCACAGACTGAAACAGGCTCCAGGCTCTGAGCTGGCAGTCAGCACAGAGCCCGACGCGGGGCTCGAACCCACGCACCGCAAGATCATGACCTAAGTGAAAGTCGGACGCTTAACCGACTAAGCCACCCAGGCGCCCCTGTCTCTCTCTCTCTACCCCAGAGCTCCCCTCTCCTCTTGACCCAGCCTCTGCTGCCTGTCGCCCCTCCTGCCCTACCTCTACTTCTCTCTTCCCCATCCTCCTGTTCTTATCCCCCCTCCAACACTAATGAAATAGCTCTAGAGATAAATAATAATCAGAGCTTGATGCTTATATATTACTCATTGTGGACCAGGCATTGTTCTAAGTGCTTTGCATGTTGAATCGTTTAATCCTTCCAACAAGCCTATGAAAAAAGCACTATTAATAACCTCATCTTATAATTGAGGACCCCAAGACACAGAGAGGTTGAGTAATTGCCCAAGGTCACACAGCTGGTGTGAGATAGAGGCAAGGCCTGAAGCCATGATGCCAGGCTACGGAGTCCATGCTCTGAACACCACACCAGGCTACTTCTCTGCTAATGATAGTAGTGTGGGTGAGCTCTTAGAAACTGGCCTCCTGGGTATTCAGCCTCAAAGAGGCTTTGGCAGCATGGTGGAGTCTACCTCCACAGGGCCAGCCCCTCCACCATCCCATGCAGCTTACCTCTTCTACTAGCCCAAGAGCCTGGAGCCCCTGAGCTGCAGCAAAATCCAGGCAGATGCTCTCACCACTACCCTGACCTTCTTAAATCTTCCTCCTGGCATGAAGTCCATTCTCTTCTCAAGCCGAGGTTCAAGGCACATTCTCCTTAGTGGGCCAGGCTCACCCCAGCATGCCCTCAGTTTTCACTCCTGCCTTTATCTTCCACAAGTGCTCTGGATGTGCCCTCAACTCCAGTCTTTGGAGCAGACCATTTGGTAATTTCCTACATATACCGTGTCCTCATATCCATACTTCTATTTTTGCTCTTCCGTCTACTTAGAACCTCTTTCCCCAGATTCTATCTCAGATGCATCCTCCTTCATGGAGCCTTTCCCGATCTCATAAAATCCATACAACCTCCCTGGTTTGACTCCTTACAGTACTTACCACTCCCTGCTCACTACTATCATTATTTGCGTGTTTTCATCTTCACCCCATTGTCAGGCAGGCCTTACGCATCTCTTCTGAAGCCCAGCCCACTGTCCGGTTCCTCTCAGGTGCTCAGTAAAAGCTCAATAGTTAGAATCAGTAGGAGGTAGACTTGTAGGTGGAAGGTAGACAGACCTCAGGAAGCTCTGATCTCTGCCCAAGGTGAACCTCACTTCCTTTATTCCTCCCCAGCAAGAGCAACTTGAAACCTGACTTTGTGGGTCCCAGGCAGGTTCTGGGAGGGACTCTCCAGGGTGATTCTGATCAACGCTCTCCCCTCAGGTTCAGAAGCCCAATGAGACACTCCCCCCCCTTCACTGAACCAAGGTCAGCCTGCCACAGGCTGTGCTCCAGCGCCACCTCCCAAACTGACCTGCCTAGTCTGTCTGGTGAGGGTAGGGAGTGACATCGCAATAACTGGAGACCAAAATCAGAAGTGTTTGAGAATGGGGTCAGGGCTCTGAACAGGGAGCCAGAGTTGGAGTTGGTGGACTCTGTAGGGATGGGGGCAGAGGCAGAGGCGTGCTGGCCACGACTCTTCGACTGAGTCTGGGCGAAGCCCCCGCGCCCGCCCGCCGAGTCGCGGCTAAATTTACCCAGGCTGACTCAGCCCTTGCCCGGAATGGGGGGTGGGGGGAGTGTGCCGGGGCAGTGGGAAGAGCCAGCGGGGGTGGGGTGGGGGGCAAGGAAGGAAGACACTGGACTAGGGGAGACAGGGTTGAGCAGGGAGTTTCCATCAAAGAAAGGAGTCCCCCCAGCCCCCCACCAAGTGGGAAGAAACTGGAGCTCCGGGGGAGGAACACCGGAGGGAGGGAGTGGGTCGGTGACAGGAAGAAGATGCCAAGATTGGACAAAGGGAAGCTTAGATTTATTGAGCGCCTACTGTGTGCCAGGCACTGTGCAAGGCGCTTTACATACATTATCGCATAAAATCCTCACAACAACCCTGCGAGGTAGGTGTTTATAAACCCCCATTTGACAGATGAGGAAACTGAGGCTCAGGGAGGTGAAGTGATTTGGCCAAATTTGCATGGCTAATAAACAGAGACAGAGCTCTCCAAGATGGTAGAGATAAAAGACTTCAGTGTCTGGGTCCCAAGCCACTTGGCGTGGATGAGTACAAAGAGGGGTTCCGCGCGCTCCAGAGGTCTAGAAGGCCAGAGGACTGCCCCCGACCTCGCACGGCTGGAGGTGGCAAGGCGGGACACCCGCGCTCAGTAACTGGGAATCAACTGGTTAACTAGCAGTGCCTGGGTAGGGGGGACTCGGGAATTAGCTACTGGGGAAATCTGCGACCTGCGCGCGCCCCGTAGTGGCTACAGCGAGTAACACACCCCATACCTACAGGCTTTTTGGGACCAGCCTCCCTCTTCTTTCCCTGGCCAAGGTTTCTGAAAGAGGCAGAGATGCAAGAAATTTTCAGGGTTCTTTCAGATGAGTGATACCACCGGGGTGGGAAATTGTGGTTACAATTCAGAGCATCACTAAGGAACACTGGGGAGGAGGAAAAGGGGGAAGGTCTAAAGAGATCCCAAGGTGATTCACTGGCTGCCTTTCCTCCCCAGTTCAGACCACTGCAGGCCAGGGACAGTGACAAGGCCACCATCCTGCTCTGCCTTGGGCATCCCTCACCTAAACCTAAGATACTGGGATAGAAGCCCTCAACCACTTACTCAAACCACTTACTTCTGCAAACCTTGGGACAGTCTCTTGAATTGTGAATGAGTGCAGGTGAAAATGAAGCCACCCAGGGACCCTCAGACTCTGTACATTTATTCTTAATTCTCTTTCTTGGCCTGTGGAGGAGAGGATAAGATAAAAACCTCCCCCAAGGATCCAAAACATCAGAGATGATCTTAGGACTCTCTTATTTTACATACTAGGAGGCCTGGAGAAGGGAAGTGACTTGCCTAAGGTCACCCAACAATCAGTGTCAGAGTTGGAATGGGAATCTTGTTTGGAACCTCGTGATACCAAAGCAATCCCTCTTTCTGTTTTGCTGGTTCCTTCTGGATCCCTTCCTCTTCTGCCAAGGGCCCCTATGTCACCTGGTCACTTCACTCAGAAGCCTCTCCATCACTTTCTCCTTCCAGCCCAGAGACCCTGCCCTAAAGTTGCCCTCCTATGACTACAGCATCCCTGCCCTCTCGCCTGGTCTTGGCTAAGTCTCTCTGCTCAGCTCCACAACTAGTTCATTGGCCCCTGGTGAAAATCTTACCCCAATGCCCTGAATGGAGCAGGAATTAAAGTCTACTGCTCGTCCTCACCTCTCCTGGAAAGGAAAGCAAAGGGAAAGGGAAGGGAAGGGAAGGGAAGGGAAGGGAAGGGAAGGGAAGGGAAGGGAAGCGAAGGAAAAAGAAAAAAGGCAAGAAATAATGAATTGCCATATGCTCCCTTTCCTTTCATTTGGGCGGCTTCTGTTTCAAGTATGGGAACGACTGTGGGTAAGGGGTACAAGAAAGTCTGTGAGGAAGAAAGAGGACCAGTGGGCCCAAGGATGGAAAGGTTGGGGAATACAAATACAAGAAAGGGCCTCTCACTGCTGCTCCCTATTTCCCTGTGGGATCCCCTTAGTGTCCCTTTCTCCGAAGAAGGCCTCCTCGGTTCGGTTGATGACGTCTAGAATCTCTCGGATACTGTCGCTCAGCTCTGCCGTCTTCCCGCCTTCCCCGGGCCGGGGCCGTTCATTTCGCCAGGAGGCTCCCGAGGCTTCGGTGTCGCTTCCATCAGAAGAGCCGCTATGGACGCTGAGCTCCGCTGCTTCGTCCGAGTCTGAGTCCGGGGCGGTGTGACGGCGAATGCGGGACACGGCTTCCCGCAGGGCCCCGGCGTAGGGCCCTGGGGTCCGCGCCCAGCCCCGGCCCGCGCGCCGCGGGGCAGCCACTTCCTCCGAGCCCTCGGCGCTGCCCGCGCCTCCCGAAGCCGGTGGGCCTAAGGCTGAGAGCTCTAGGCTACCTGGCTGCGTGGGGGCCTCCTGCAGGTTTACCTCGCCAACCGGGAGCCCCAAGATGCGGGAGGCGCGCTCCTCCAAGGAGGAGTCCGGCGGCTTCCCGCCCTCGGCTTCTAACCCTCGCCCCCCACCGAGCTGGTGTGAAAGACGGCTGCTCAACAGCAGTTTCTGGCAAGGGGAGGGAAAGGCCGCGATTCCCTCGCCCTCTTCCTTGTTGGGCTTCGGTTGGTTAGGGGCATCCCCCCCGACGCGCGGCACCCCAGCGGGCAGAAGCTGTACATGCTGGGTTCGAGGGGTTGGGACATACTGGGACCGTATCACCACGCACGTGGCGTCAATCACAAAGACGCCTTCTCCCCGAGCTGGGCCGCGGGAGCTGCGGGGCAGGGTGTGGGCGCGGCGGGCCCCCTTCCAGCCCTCCCAGGTCTCAGGTCCTGCCCCCTCTCTATGACCCAGGGACCCTCTCCATCCCGTGCCTCCCGGAGCCCAGGGTCTGGGGAGGGTCTGGCTATGTCGCGGCGGCTGCCTTTTAAGGGAGGGAACCCAGCATTTCGGGAGCCAGCTCTGCTCCCTATTCTCTTTCCCTTCCCCCGAGCCCTTGAGATGGGGCCTGGACCTGGGAGCGGGACGAGGTGCGCGGGGAGTCGCCGCGACCAGCCCCGCAGGAGCCGTCTCCGAGCCTGGGCTCCCCGCGGCTTTGGCCTGGGGATGGCTGTCGCTACCACTGTTTCGGCCGGCACGAGCCAGCCCCAGGCTTTTCTCCGCGGCCCCCTTGCCGGACTCCAGCCTCGGCCTGGCTGTTCCACAGCCCGGGGATCCCCCCAAGAGGCCCCGTCCCTGTCGGAGACCCCAAGCCCCGAGGACGTCCCGGTAGATCCGAGGATCCAGCCTCTTCTTTGTGAACCCTCCCTCTGTCCTGGCCGAAGTCGGGGCACGAGCTGCTGAGGCGGGCGCCTGGGAGGGCTCAGGGCTCCGCTTAGCCCCCAAGGTCCTGTGGGGGCCTTCGTAAGAAGGTGGAGCCACGTAGGGTGGCGGGCGGTCCCAGCGTCGTCGCAGGGCCGTCCCCGCTGCACCCCTTAGCAGCAGGTGAGCCTCGTAGCTGGGGGGCCCTGACCGCCTACCGCCCCAGGGCCCCGCCCACGCCGCCCCTGGGTCGCTCTGAGGCTGCGCGGATGGACGGGGCGGTCGCCCCGCCGGCCCCAGGCGCTCGGGTCTTGAAGGAGCTGAGGGCCCTACAGGCTGGGCCACCCGAGGGGCGTTCCGAGGTTCCGGGCGGGGCCGACCGGGGGGGCTCCTTCGGGCCCCACCAGCCTTGCGCCTTTTTCGCTCGGTCTCCTTGGCCTCCCGCTCCTGCGATGCCGCTTTCCTTTTCTCTTGCTCCCGGGCTCGGGCCTCGGCCGGGGGCCCCGCCCGCCAGTTGGTCGCCTCCTGCAGCACCCTGGAGGCCCAGGGACGGCGGGGCGGCGGTTCAGGGGATCCCGAGCGCGGCCCACACCTGGGACAATGAGCAGGAACCCAGGTGAGCAGTTTGTGGGGGAAGGGAGCCGAGATCCGGGGAGCTGGGAGCACTGGAGACCATTTGGGGCAGCCATGTGGAGGGGTGTGTGTGAGTGTGTGTGCGTGTGCGTGTGCACGTGCGTATATGTTAGGGCTGAAGTCGAAGCCGGACTCCTCACCATCTCTCCATGCACACTTTAACAGCGTCTGCCCCATCTCACCTCTTGCCCTTCCTCACACCCACTCCTGTCCCCCAAAACAGTGTGAGACGAGTCAGGCCCCAGCCCTCGGGATGGGGTAGGGGAAGGCGTGGGGAAGAGAAAGGGGACCAGCAGTCTGGCTGGTGCCTGCGGGGAGGTCCAGACCCCACTCCCCGCCCCACCACTCTCTTCCCGTCACCCCTCCTTCACTCACGTGCGGCTTTGGGGCCCACGGGCCCAGTGGCTGGCTTGGAAGTCCATGGGCTGTCGAGGAGGGGCGCGGCGACTATAATGACAGGAAATTGTCTTCACTTCGATCACCAGCAGCTTGGATTTCTGCACCCAGAGGCAGCTGCCAGACTCCTCATCCTGGGGCTCCCGGGGGCTGTCGGGCCCCTCGGAGAATAGCTGGCCATCCAGCATCCTGCCCCACCCCACCCCGGCCCCCCACCCTCCCACCCGCCCCGAGAGCCCCCTCCCAGCCCGAGGAGCCGGCGCCCACTGCAGAGCGACGGGCCCAGAGACTGGGGACTATATATACCCGGGCACACGTGTGTGCCTGTCTGTGTGTGTGTGTGCGCGCGCGCATGTGACACGGCGCGGCGCGGACGGCACAGCGCTGTTACCTCCCCCATGTGCACGGCCGCCCCCTGGGGCCCGGGATTGGGCGCCCCTTCCCACTGCTCATGTCCCCCAAGCCTGATGGGACCTGCGTGAGTGGGCAGGGGACTTCTTATTCTCGCAAGCTGACGGTGCCCCTCCCCCACCCCCATTTCTTCAATCTTCCTGTCGTTTTAATCCTTCACTCTTCTGCTTGTCGGGGTGCCTGACCGCCAGGGTTCTGCCTCTGACTTGCTGCCTCGGACTTCAGTTTCCCGGACAGGGAGGTGATGGGAATGGAACTCAAGGTCTCTGCCTGCCACTCTCCGCTGGTTTCCATGGGGTTGGGGTGCAGGGGGTCTATTTTTAGCGGCAGTGGCTGTTCGGGTGCAGAGAGATGAGTAACCAGCTTCCATGCGGTGGAGGGAGGAGGCGGTGGCTTTCACACAGCTTTTATGTGACTCTGGGGGAGAGCTGCCTCCCCCAAGCTCAGAAAGGGTAACCTCCACACCCTTAACTCCTTACCCTCTCAGTGTTGCAGCCCAGGACTGCTAGTTCGGGGGCACACAGGAGTCTGTCTTGACCATCCTAAGTGTGCCACACTCCTGTTCTAGATGTTTGTCCTTGGGCACCTATGGAGTCCTCTCCCCGCAGCAGGCTCTCTCCCCAAATCCAGAAGCCAGGACTTGCGGGTCATACTGTTCTGTGCCCACACAGCTCTGCTGAGCCTTATGGAGGACAAACTATGGTGGTTATGCATTTGCACCCTTTCAGCAGGGATGGAGGAGGAATAGTGTGCTCCCTTGGCAAAACCAACCCCCTAGCAACTGAAATGATAAAAGTCGCCCCGCTTCCCAGTGCCCATCACCACTACCACAGTGCCCAGCTCACTTAGCCCCCACCTGAAGTGATGCTCAAGATGGTCACTTTTTAGGATCATTCTGTTCCAGGGGCAGGAGGTGCTGCTTACATCTACATGATCCCTCCCCCAAGCCTATACCAGGTGTCCCCTGATTCACCATGGTAATGTTAGTGGCAGCACAGCCCACGCCAACCCTTCCATGCAGAGACTTAGCAACCATGCCTGGCAACCATGGCAGCAGCTCCAGTGGAGGGGAGGGTGCAGGGAGGTGGGAGAAGAGTGTGTGTGGCAATGGTTCCTGAGGAAGAAGGGAGAATTTGCCTCTTCTGAGAGGAATAGGTAAAAATAGGCTATGAGGCTCCTTAATTTTGTCCTTTATCTTTCCTTCTACTCCATTCTCAGATTTTGAGACTGATTGGTCGGGTTTAGGGGAGAATGGGAGAGGCAAAAGATCATGCAGCCCTTTGGGTGCAGACCCTTCCTTTTATGAGGATGGAGCCAGGAGGGTTGTTGTGGGGCAGAGTCGGACTTATTGAGAACCAGACCAAACCCAGGCCCCCTGCTCCCCAGTATGGACTTTTAAGATAACCCAAACAGCCCCTATTCCATCCACTTGAGATCCCCCCACCCCCACCCCTTTCCGCGGACCCTTCACACACCTACCAGCTCTGAACACTGCTGGCTCTTTGCTTGACAGTGCTTCCTTCCACCCAGGTCCCACCAGAGTCCTAAGGCTTTTTAAAGCCCTTGCCTCCTCCCTAGACAAACGCTCCATGATGGAATGTGACATAAGGAGACATCTGTCCTTTCCACCATGCACTCACCCACACACACATAAACATATCCTAATTCTAATAACTTGGAAGCCTCCCTCCCCCAAGTCTGGGAATGTGCTGTGAAGAGGTGAATGCAGAATCAGGGACTCTTCTTGAGCCAAGATGGGGGCCCTGACAGCTGCCTTGAAACTCTTCCATATGTGCCATCAGGAAACCTACTTTGGAGGAACCAGTAAGGTAGGGCAGAGTTCATCAGAGTTCTTAGGTGCAGTGTGGGTAGGGCAAGGGGTTACTCCCGAGATTGCTTCTGGTCTTAGACAGGAAATGGTATCAAACCTGCAAGTCAGTGGTGAGATGGTACCCAGAACTTGGCTCATGCCCAACAGTCTAGCAGTCCTTATGGTGTTTGGTGTTGGCTGTTTTGGCCCACGTGGTTTCAGCACAGGTAAAGAGTCTGTTCCCCACCACCCTCACCCTCTAGCTCACTCTCACCTTGGAAGAATGGCAAGGCATTTTGTAGGTTCAAAGACAGTGCCAGCTCAGCAAAACTCAAACACAGAGTCCAACCTTCCCTATGAACAGTTGAAAACTGCGGCATGTCTCTTTGCTTAAAGGAGACCCTCAGTCTCTCTACTCTCTGGAGACATAATACTGTTATGAGATTTTCCTGGGGTCCAGCTATGGTTCAGGCAGAGGGGGAAGTGAGGTCACAAGGAGAATTTCAGGGACTAGGGTAGGAAACAGTTATGAATGGAGAATTGGAAAGGTAGTAAATCTAGAGTAGTGGTAAAGAGCAGGAGCTTTGGGGCCAGACTGTTTGGGTACAAATCCTAGCTCTACAGTTTATTAGATGTGTGGCCTTTGGCTGGTTCTTAGCCTTCTGTGCCTCAGGGTTTTTTTCTGTTTTGTTTTTTTAACAATTTGTAAAACTGGAATCGTACCTACCATTGTTCTGAGGATTTAATGAATTACTATACATAAAGCACCAAGAATGGTGCCTGACACAATCGTGTGTGTGTGTGTGTGTGTGTGTGTTTGTGTACACACGTGCCATTATTCTGTTGTTGTCAGTAATGAGTTGAAGAAGCCGTATGAAGTAGGATGCCTGGAGCAGTAGTGTCTATCAACTACAAGAATCAAACACTGCAGTACCATTAAGAGTTCCTGTCATTTTAATTACGTTTGCCATGAAAAGCAATAACCTCAGCTAATCACTCTGCCCTCCTCCTCCACCTAACCCCATCTCCCTTCACAGGCACACAGCACAGGAACCCAAAGGCCCTCCTCCCCACAATCCTCCCCACTCCCATTGTGGGAAGAAATGTCACTAAATGGACTCAGCCTCCTCCATACAGCATGAAACAGGATAAATAAAAATACCTTTAGGAAGTGTTTTGTTGTGCTATTATCTCAGGGTGGAGTCAGGGGCAAAGGTAGAGGCAAAGGCTGGGTGAGGTCTGGGGATCTCTTAGAGATCAGAATTTGCTTGAGGGGCACACAGCCCATCGTTCACCCAGTAAGGGGCTATGTCTAAGAAGGCAGGGGCTAGGCTGGGCTAGGCTGTGTGTGTGAGGATGAGGACAGCTAAAAATCTATTCTCCTTCCTCCCCCCACACCTTCCTCAGCTCCCAGGGAGTCCCAGGTAGGGGACTCCCAAGCAGGGAACAGAGTTACAATTCTCTTAAGGTTTCATCTGTGGTTCCTAGAACTTTGGGCAGGCAGTGAGTGGGGTATATCCCCTGGTGCTGCCTGACCCCTACCCCAGCTCAGGGCTTCTCTCCTCCTGTGAGCACCAGGGCCTGCAGGATGTCAGACAGTGATACAATCCCCTTGACCACATCATTCTCATCTACCACTACAAGTCGGTGAACCTGCATGGAGCAACAAGGGAGAAAAGGGATATTTAGTTATGGCCTCTGTTAGGATGAGCCCTTCAACCCCTACCCTCCTTGCCAAACCCCACACTCAAAGCTGCTTCCCCAGTTCCTTCTGGGTCACTGGACTCCCTACCTCTGCTTCCACCAGCCTGTTGATGATGGTCTCCAGAGTCTCATGCAGGTAGCACTTGAGGACACCCTCAAAGTAATGTGATCGATGTTGGAGGGCTTTGGTCACAGATACATCTAAGTTGTTGTAGGTCTTTTCTGCTGCCAGATTCTGGGGAGAGAGAGGAAGGTGCTTGCAGGGAAGCAAGGAAGCCAGCCCCCAAACCCTGAGCCCACCCACCCACACCAGAGGGATTTAGGGTAGTTGTCAGCCATGCCCACAAACCACACCCAACTCATTCAATTCCTTTTCAAATAGGATTCAAAAGATTGGAAGCTTCTAAAACCCTTAGGTCCCAGAAGAGACTCTTTTCTACTCCCTCTCCACATTCAATACCCCACCCCTTTCCCTACCTCCCGGCCCCTCCACAATCACTCACGATAACATCAAACTTGGAGTAGATGTCCACCACACGCCCTAGGGGGACAGAGGCAGTTCAGCAAAGAGGATCTGGCATCCAAGGCTCCCCCTGCCTGTAGCATCACCCCCCCCGGGGTTAACTGAGGGACAGGTTTTCCCAGAACCACCCTGGCTTCCCTGGAGCCCTCCCTCTCCTTCTGTGACATCTCTCACCTTTCTCATCTACTACTGGCAGTGCTGAAACTCGGTGTTGTACAAAGATGCCCAGAGCCACATAGACAGGGGTAGTGGTGCGGACCATAGCGATGTTGGCATAGGTACCAATCTGTAGCTCTTCCAAAGACTTAGACATGAACTCTGGCTTGGGGAATTCAGTGATCTGAGGAGAGAACGATCAGCTTGATCTTCAAGGCTCCCCAAACTACCCTTGGGTACCCCTCCAACCCAGTATATAAGGAGTAAAAGCCAGGATGAGGACACTTACAAACAATTTGAGGAACTTGAGGATACGCTTGTGGGTGAGGATGTACAAGGTGTTGCCTGATTCTGGGTCAATAACTGGCAGCCTGTGGATCTTGTTTCGAATTAATGAAGACACAGCATCAAACAAGCTGTGGGAAGGTGGGGAATAATGATAAGTCCCACAGTGCTGAGCCCAAGGCGGGTAAACAGCTTCTAAGAACATATTTATAAACAGGGAAAACTGGTGACTAGGAGAGGAGAGCAGTGCTCAAACCAGACCTAAAGAGTGTGTGTGTGAGTGAGTGAGTGAGTGAGTG